AAATAATATAAATAACCCAAAACCCAAAAAAAAATAAAAAATAAAAATCTAATTAAAGCCTGACATGTCGTCTTGTTATGGTGTGAAGTCTGATGACAAAGACTACATCTTACATCTCTTATCTCATTTTTAGACTTGTAACGATGAATCTGTGGTCTTCCACCTTGTCTCCTTGTAAGAGGGAGCTTAACAGGAGCACTTATTAGATCAAAAGTGGGCTTGTTCAAGTCAGAAGCTGGAATGATAGGAAACTGATAACTTAGCTTATACGAATAAACTTTTCAGTAGTCATTCACAAAATCCTCAATATCACGATAATCATGCAACATAACTTGCATAGCATGAGCACAAGGAAAACCTTTATGCTTCCATTGAACACATGAACACTGACATTGATTCAACATAACAACAAAAGAGTTCTTATCCCTTGAACCTCAAATACATCATCAGAGGACCTACTAGCAATCCAATGACTACCTTCTCAAACAAAACCTCTAAGATCATCTTATTTTTTCGGATATAACAGATAAAACCACTTTTTTGAAACACACCTCTTATCAGACATCATGACCATCAACCTTCCTCTAATTGATTCAATCAAATCAAGAATAGGCACGCGACGCTCTTCAGAAATCATTATGTTAAATGATTCTGCAGTTGCATTACTCATTTCGTCCCACCGATTTTCCCTAAGTGTATAATATAATAATGCTCTTTATGAAGATCATCTAAAAATGAATAAGAAATATTTTTGCCAACATTTCTCATTCCCTCAATATTTTTATCAAAATCTTCAACACGGCATGCGTATGTACAATTTTTGAAATACTCACTCAGCTGATCATTAAAAAACTTATTACTTGCACATCGCCTCTCTAAATTTTCTCTCAAATGTATAATGCATAAACCATGAGAAGTAGTAGAAAAGTATTTCCGAATAGCATTCAAAAGACGATGTCGGTCGGTAATTAACGTGATCTTCCTTAGTTGATAATTTAATATCCGAGTTAAATGTTCAACAAACCACATTCAATTGTCTTCATTTTTTATGTCAACAATACCATAACACACAAGAAAAATCTCTGTATAAAAACAAAAAAATTAATAATTATATCACAAAATTGGTTCTGCACATCAATAAATTGATGTGCACATTAATAAACAGATATACACATAAGAATAAGTTGATTCATAATCTACCAAAGTTGAAATTTCTTATAAGTTTATTAAAGGAAGGGGGGGGGGGGGGGAAGGAGTGGGGCTTGTTTATGTAAAACTGGTTCTATACAAAGGTTTATAAAAACTGAAATCTTAAAAGTTTTTGTAAAACTGCTGATGCACAAATGCTAATCAAAAGTTGAAAATTCTTAACTATTTATGGGCCCCCCCAACCCCCCTCCACCCCCAACCACCCTATAAATTGATTCATAATCCATTAACTAGTTCCTAATCCATTGCACATTAATAAACTAATAATGCACTTTAATAAACAAATCTACACAAAAGAATAAACTTATTTTGCAAATAAATAAATATTGAAATTCAAACAATATCACAAATTTGTAATTTATCACATTTAAAAAAACTTACCATTATTTGCATTTTTAGCATAACAGCCAAAAAGAGTACCAGTACATCTTCTTTTAAAAAATGTTCCACCAAGGAACAAAATTGGTCTACACCATCGGAATCCTTTAACACAAACACCAAAAGATATGATTCATGAATAACCTTTCAAACCGATTACTATCATTATCAAATTCTAGTACACAAAAGAATCCATCATTGACATGTGCAAACTCGCCAAGATACCATGGCAAATATTCAAAAAAATAGAGCCTCATCACTGTTAACCTCGTTATATGCAATTTCTTTGCTGCACCAAGCTGCATGGTCTTTAACATCAAGACCATAACTCTCATTCATTTCTCTCATAACATCCTTTGCCTTAATAAATGGATTCGAACGAACCTTGGCAGCCAACAAAGAGGACAAAACAAAATGACCAAACCTTTTATTCTCCTTTTGACGAATACGTCCAGTGCAAGTATGAATATTATTTAATTTTTTTAATGATAAAACAACCACTAGGTTGGCATGAACACAACATTGACACATCTCTGACAGTTTCTTTGAGCAAATAGCAGTATCATGCCTCCAATCATTATTAATGCACTTGAAAAAAAAACCAACCTCAATAGAGTATTGTGTAAGTTTTCTACGAAACCCAACTGCACCATCTTCATAACTTTGACCCTTGTAAGAAATATAACTCTGCCACTTATTTGTTGCGTAATGGTGAGGTCCATAAGAGCCATACTTACCAAGTATTGGTTCTCATCTCTAATACTAGCAATTTCACTTAGACAAGAAGACGACACACTACTAGTATAAAAACATACATCTCCTTCTTAGCATGAACATAAACTTCAACAACTGGACTAGAAATCAAATTATTCACCAATATAAGGTTTGAATATCTTGTTGCACTCTAATAAACAGTTAGGCTCGCCTCCATATAATGAGTATTTAACAAAAAACCTACTGATGACAAACTTGGAAACCTAAAAGTTAATTCCCACACAAATCTTCGTAACTAGTGTGCGAATAAAGCGGCACAACTACTGCATAATTTTTATACACACACTTCAACACTTTAACAACAGACATGATCTACATAAGAAAAAAAAAAAAAAAAAAAGAAGCTTAAAATTAAAACAATTACACAATGATTGTGCATAAAAATGATTATTTACTTAGATAATTAGATATATACATGCATTTTAAAAAGGGAAGTGTTATTGACACTCCAAAATTCTCATTCTACACTCCTCACAAGTGTATTTTTCTTTCCTAATATAGAAAGTTTGGAGTGTAGAATGAGATTTTTGGAGTGCTAATAACAATTCCCTTTAAAAATAAATATAATAATGAATAAAAAATGATGTTGCACAAAGGTTTCAAATGATGAAACTCTTCAAAGATTATGTAAAATTGGTGTTGCACAAATGATAATAAAAAAGTAATAAAAACTGATGTTGCACAAAATGCTAATCAAAAGTATTCTGCACGAAGGTTTATAGAGCTAAAATTCTTTGAAGATTCTATAAAACTGATGCTGCACAAATGGCAATCAAAATGGTGACAATTCTTAAATGTTTCAATAGGAACAATAAAAATTTGAAAAATTAGAAACTCGTTTCACAATCTAAACCGAAAAAAATTCAAAAACACACAACTCGTTCAAAAATCTAAATAGGAACAGAAACTTGAGAAAAGAAAAATTAAATATAAAACCAGAAGAACAACTTACCTTCGAATAAACTTAAGAGAGAAAAAAAAAATAGCAGAGAAATGAAAAATAAATTGAATGATTCGAATAGAAGAGAGTAATTCTGAAGCTATATTCTGTCAATCTCCCCTGATCATGTTTAACAGAAAATGAAAAGTAAATGCGTAACTTCGTTTCTAACAGAAAAAACAAAACATGATGTCATCTGCCAACCCTGAAATGCATAGTGATGTACTTGTTTTTTTTTTTTTTTTTTTTTTTTTCTTACGCTTAATGCCAAAAGCCCAATAAGTAGCAACACAGACTGCAAGAATACAAAGGCCATGATGAAACTGATAAGTAAAATTCCAGTAATATTGCCATCTTTTCACTTACAAATTACTTATGTATAGAGGCCAAATTCCTTGGATTAACAGTGAGATATTATGCCCATATTGGTAGCAAAACATGCATCTGGTTTTAATGCACAATCAATTTTAACACGCCCATAACAAAACATGCATCTGATTATAATGCACAATAAACTTTTTATTTCAAAGGCATAATTGAATTATATCTGATGTGTCTTTGACAAATATATATATATATATATATCTGATGTGTGAGATTAATTTTGAATAGGTTGTTCATATTGGCTCCTTTCGGGACATCCTATAAAATAAGTTGCTTATATTGAGTTATGTGTCCATAGAAGACGCTATTTTTACACAAAATGATTCAGAAAGTGGGAGATAAAAATATGAGAAAGGGATTAGTTTGTATGGATATTTTTAGGGAGGGAAATGAAGAAGATGGCTGTGTATTTATAGTAAAGATATCCATAATTTTTTTTTTTTGTATTTATAAGTATTTTTGTTTCTTATTTTGTAGTTTTTCTGATTTTCATGTACTCTAGGTATCTCCACGGGCCAGCTTTGCTTGGGCTGCTGGTCGTGCTTCATGTGGCCCACCACATGACAAGAATTGATCAGCATAGGCCCTTTTTTCCCAAAGGCTAATAAGGAGTGGGACTTTGAGTTAAACTAAATGATGGCCCACCCTTAGTTTGATATCAAAATCCGTTATTCATGAAAGTTAAATCTAAGACTCTATTTATGCTATTTAAAATCATAGTTTAGTGATATTCATCTTTACTGGTAAGTGAGAAATCATATATTCGATTCTTATCAAAGACGAATTTGAACCATATTATTGGTAGCCCATTGTGAGGCTTAACCCACTTTCCCACCTCCTTGGTGTAGATAATATTGTTTTGACTAAGTGGACATAATCAAACAACAAAAGAGTTGGTTTAGATCACGAGCTTATAATGTGGAATATGCTTAAAGCAGTGGTTAGCATCGAAAATAATTATACATAATCTCTTAATCACCCACACTATTGGTCACTTAGTACTCAGCGTGAGACTTAACATACTCTCCCACCTCTGAATATAGATTATATTGTAAGTATTAAAAAAAATGACTTAGCTAAATAGACGACTTTATTTAAACAGTTACTCTTATCATTTAACTTGATGACATAATAACATCAGGAACAACTTCAACAACATCCGAACTCAAGATGACTATCTGCATTCTTTTTTAGGAAAAATAGTTACAATAAACATATTTTGATAATTGGTTACGGAAATGATCATTTGTTTAGTAATGAGATTGTATATTGATGACCAACAATGACATAACGACAACACAATGGTAATACAATGACGACATAATAAACACTAATTATTTCTGCAACAAAATGTCAAAATATGTTTATTGTGGCTAATTGCCTTTTTGTATTATTGTATCGCATAACATATGGGTGAGAGAACATGGGCACAAAGCACTCTTATTCAACTATAAACTCACATACTTGAGACATGATTCTGTGACTCCTCCTATCCGAAGGTGAGTTGGTACTTGGGTTGTTTGTTAGGGGAGAAAACTCCGAAGTGTTTCTCAACTGGTTCAGGGCCTTTGAGATTCTCATCAAACAATGCAAAAAGATAAGTCTCTATAGCTCTCCCAGGCCTCTTTGGAGTCCCAGTATTACTCGTCACATGGCTGATCAAATTCTGGTAGAATGTGGCTGCGTTCTGAGCAGTTGCTTGATTACCACCTTCAGAAGGCCAACCGCTCTCCGATACGACTATCTCTATATTTGGTGCACCAGCTTTTTCAAGAGCTGAGTACTGAGCATCCAAAAGAGCATCAAAGAGGCTAGGGTATCGAGTTCCGTCTGGTACCACGACCCCTTGTGAAGTGAACAAGGCATAGCCAAGGTCTATGTTATTAGGGTCATCATTGTAGCTGAAGTAAGGGTACACATTGACAAGGAGTGGAGCCCCATTGCTGACGAGGAAATTGATGATTGGTGTTATGAATGGATTTGCAGGCTCAGTATATATTCCATCTGAGGGGGGGTAGGGGTTGGTCACAAGAGTTGCGTCAATTGCTGTTGAGACTTTGATTTGGCCTTGGAGATTGGCCGCTACAATTGCACTGTGGATGTTTTGGATGGCAGGAAGGAGAAACCCGGCCTCTGCAGTACCAGGGTGTACTTCGTTTCCAACAGCGATGTATTTGAATCGGACATCGGCTGAAAAGGGTTGTACGTTTTTCTGGACCCAGGCAGTTGCAGCAGCAGCATCATTGAGGGCTGAAAGCTCGTTGTTGAGGATGGTTACAGTGAGTTCTATGTTGGAACCTCTTAGGGCTTGGAAGGTTGCTTCATTTGGTTCATACATCCGCATCCGTCCGATGCCATTGCTTTTGTACAAGTCGACCACTTCTCCTTCAGCTGGTAAATTGTCGCCGTTTCGTCCATAGCAAACACCAACAGATTGTGCACCTGAAATAAGTAGATGATATTTGAATCAAAATGTGGTGATTTTTCGGTTGTGGAAGAAAAAACTCGAATTTCCTGTAAGAAATATTTTGGGTTGTGGTGATTTTTGGGTTGTGAAACTTTATAGCTACAACTTCATCTAACTTAAGTTATTTCACAATTAGAACATCACTAACGAAAGAGTAACAGAAGATCGAGCCAAACGATACTCTTTTCTTCGCTGCATGGCATTTCAATGGTTTGTAGAAATAAAATTATTTAACACATATTTGATAACCATTTGATTTTTAGCTTTTAGTTTATATTTTTTATGCTTGAAATATGAGGAAGGTATATGGTGAAATAAAAAATGAAGAAGAGTAGATGAAGATTGGTAAAAGAGAAATAAAATTGAAAATTGGAAATGGGGAAGAGTGGATGAAGGTTGGTAAAAGAAAAAGAAAATTAAAAATTAGACAAAAATCAGAATCTTTAAATATTCATGCACCAAGTCCATTGTTTGAATTCATAAACATAAGAGTTTAGAATTTTTGTTATGACCAAGCTTAGAAACAGTTCTGATTAATTATAAGGCAGGGCATACTAATTAAATCCAAAACAAAACAAAATACTATTTCAAGTTGATTTCACTTCAATATTTATTTATTCGTTTTTTTTTTTTAAATATTTTTTCCCTCTCCCTCACCACCCTTCTTCCTCGCTTTCTTCTTTATGCTTTTTCTATATTTCAAGTCCAAAAAGTAAAAATTAAATAAAATAACCAAGTAGTTATCAAACGTACAACTAAAACATGTAAATATATCTTGGAAACAATGGTTGAAGAAAAACCATCACATCAGTATAACCAGTTAAGCTAGAAACAGTTTTGATTAACTATCTAAGCCAGCCATAATTTCAAAACGACTATATATATATATATATATATATATATATATATATACATGCTGTTAGTGTTTATGTCAATATAATTGCAGACTATAGACAGAGGCATTAAATTAAGTGAGACCTGTTATTTCCAGGGCAGGCATCAAGAGTACAAGTAGTAGCAATATGGAAGCCATGAGAGCTTTTCCAATTTTATATGTCGGAAAAATGCATGAAGCTAGAAGAGAGTGTATAACTTAAACATATATTGGTTATATATATAGGCGGCTGCCATGGTTAAATTTAGTCTCTTTTTTTTTTTTTTTTTTTTTTCTTCCAACTTGGTATGGTAGACTGTAGAGTTTATTGGAGGAGGTCCCAAACCATTACCAATTAGGCAGGCAATCACTGCGTGGACTAACAATGTCGGCAACTGCAGTTGCATCAAAACTCTGATAATATCATGATAACCTGCCAGATACGTATATAGAGACATTTTTCCAAGTATTGAGTATTCAAACGGTATTTTACATGTCATAATATGTGGAAGAAATTATATATCTTTTCATGTCCCCTCCAATATTTTATAACATGCGGAGTACTCGATTGAATACATGCACTTGAGAAAATTGTTCCACGTGCATAATGAGTTTTAATTAAAGATTAACCACCATCTCTCTAATAAAAGTAACACTTCTATTAGATAGATAGTTTAGATGTGGTCTACAAAATGTGGCCCTAGCATTTTCTAAAAGAAAAATTGTGGTCAATTTTCACGCTTAATTTGTGTGGTTTAACGTCTAAGGCAGTTTGATTCATGTCTTCTAAACAAAGAACAACCATGAAATTATCAAAATTACACTAATATTAGTCTCTCTATTAGAATAATCGTCATCACGTCGTGTCAATTGTTTAATTTTTGGGAGATTAAGCGTAATAATTATTTTATAAATTTTAATTGTTGAACTTATCAAAATCAAATACATACGGATCAAATAGGTTTTTGATCATGTTAAATGAGTTAAGTTCTCAAAAGTAATTTCCATTTGGACAATTTAACCATGCAAGCCTTTGCAAGTCTTGTCGGCATTTCCAATTTCCTTAAAAAGTCATTGGGATCCATCAAAGTCCAAAACTGCTGGGGGTCTACATTTCCAAATTACTTGAAAAGTCATTGGGACTAATTAAGCTCCGAGTTGGCCGGTCCAGACTCCGCGTGCAGAATTAAGTGTGGGGACTGACTGACCCATTCAATGTCTCATTGAATCGCGTCGAGGTTTGCGTCTTGAATTCCAAGTGCTTGATGCAATTTGCACCTTGCAATTGGAGGCAAAGGAGACCAGAAATTCTGGCGTACAGGAGGCTCTTAAATCGGTTTGAAAATTCAAATAAATTGTCAAGTCAAAGGACAAGGACAATCCAACGAAATAAAATGACGAGTACAAGAAGTAAATCACTGAGTGTTAGAAAATTCCGATTCAAGGTTTGGCTCAATTACAAGACTAGTATACAACTTTTCATGCGTTCATTCGATGCGTTTGGTCTTGGTAATAAAATATTTTATCACTTTTATAAAATAAAAATATATTGGAGTGTGAGCATCTCAAATCTGTTCATATGAGCATAACGTGAACAAGAGACGACATAAACGACTGAGTATCATTGTGTAAAAAATAGACGACAAGCAGGAAAAAGAACGCTATTAGCATTAACTGTTCTGCAATAAATAGACAAACATATTTCTTGAGCATTATTATTCCTATTATATCAAAATGAAAATATGACGTAAGAGAATAAATTTGTTAAGAAGTGAAAAATTGTTGAGGTACAATAGATTAAGTAAATGGGCACCCTTTTTCGGTAAACCCATTTTAGCACAAATATTATAATACATCCTAATGTATATGGTATAATACTCATGTCCCACACGCCAACGTTAACGAGCTACAGTTGCATCACGGATAAGTGTCAAATCATTCACAAAGGTTATTCAGACCAGATAAAATAAAGTTAAAAAAATAGATGGGGAGGTGTGCGAAATGAATACACTTTTACTCAAAAGTTCAATAGTAGTTGATCAAGAATCTTTCATAAACTTATTTCAACATTGTTTTGTAATAATTTTGAGCAATACGATATGACAAAGTTTTCATCTTTCTCAACTTAGATCTGGAGACAATAATAAAGAAGACACGTATGACTATTACAAGGAAGACCATGATCATACGAGAAGCCATATACTCGACAATGGTTCCGTACATGACTTAAATGGGACGATCAATATAAGTTCTTAGAAAAAAAATCAGGACACATCAATATGCAGTGTAGTTACAATAACGTGATGTAATGCACGAGTAAAGGCTGAATAAAAATAAAATTGACCTATATTACATGTGATGTTTTCACAAAGTTTTCTAAATTTGCGCAGTAGTTGCTTTCACTCCTCAATTACGAAGAAAATGCTTTACAACTCAAAGCAACAAAGTGAAGCCGTATTAAGGCATCAAACAAATATATTGACATTTTATTCTAACTCATGAAACGTCCCACAAATTTATTAGCCCTAAAGAAGTTCAATTCTCTGTTTAAGATAGAGAAGAAGGAGGTGGCATGGAAGTTGCAATTATACAATGATTAAATACTCAGTTAGCCCTGGCTTGAATGATAATCTGTTCCTTGTGTGTTCATAAGTAAAAGTGCTATTCACGAAAACATTTTGGCAGTGTTTTCCGATGCCACAAGAGCCCGACAACTACTGTTGCCAATTTCCCGCCATTTGAAAATATAGTTGCACACGTCAAATGCATACTTTATGCTGAAATGTTTTTTACACTCAACAACGGTCGGCGGGTCATCCAAATGCACCGACGTTGGAAGAGAGAAACTAGTGGCCAAAAGCAAAAATGACCACAATTGGAAACATGTTTAGTCCAACCATAATGGTGGAAAGAACGAGTGACCTTTGATTTTTCCTCAGAAAATGATCCCTTAGATATAGTTGAACTTTGATGCAAAGAGTTCTACACTTATAAAGGATGAGGAAAAGGTGCGAGTCATTCGTAAAATGAAACGCATTTTCCTTTAAAACTACCTTAGCAACGTATTTGCTGACCTGAGGTATCAAATATGAAAGTTCCTAAATTTGATATTTATTTGGTAGGAGAAAAACAATCGCATAAACATTTATTTTTTTTTTCACACAAATATTACTTTGGAAATTAATTGATTGACTAGTTTGTTACAATAGAGTTGCAAAACTGTCAACTAAACTTGCATGTCGTGTTTGCGAACATTATAAACAACTGAGTATCATTGCGTGAAAATGAGACAACAAGCAGGAAAAAGAACGCTACTAGCCTCAACTGTTCTGCAGTAAATAGACAAATGTATTTCTCAAGCATTATTACTCCTATTATATCAAAATGAAAAAATGACATACGAGAATAAATTTGTTGAGAAGCGAAGAATTGTTGAGGTACAATAGATTAAGTGATGGGTGCCCTTTTTTGGTAAACCCATTTTAGCACAAATATTTTATCACACCGTAGTGTATATGGTACAATACTCATGTCCCACATGCCGAACATAACGTTAACGAGTTACAGTTGCATCAATGATAAGTGTTAAATCATTCAAAAAATATTCTAGTTTTGGTTATTAAGGCCACTAAAAATAATGAAAACAAAAAAGAAAGATGTGGAGGTACGAAGTGTAGTGTGTGCATAACAACTTGAATCAATAGTTCTACAGGAGTTAATCAAGAATCTCTCATAAACTTATTTCAACGTCATTTTGTAAGAATTTTGAGGAATACAATATGGCAAAGTTTTCATCTTTCTCAACTTAGATCCGGAAACAATAAAGAAGACATGTATGATTGTGACAAGGAAGACCGCGATCATACAAATAGGCATATACTCGACAATACTTCTGTACATGTGTTAAATGAGACGATCAATATAAGTTTCTACAAAAATAATCAGGACACATCAATATGCAGTGTAGTTGCAATAATGTATGTAATGCATGGGTAAAGGCCGAACAAATATAAAATTGACCTATATTACTTACGATGTTTTCACGAAGTTTTCTAAATTTGCCCGGCAGTTGCTTTCACTCCTTAATTATGAAGAAAATGCTCTAGAACTCAAAGCAACAAAGTGAAGTCATATTAAGGCATTAAACAAATATATCGAAAATTTATTCTAACTCACGAAACATCCCATAAATTTATTAGCCCTAGAGAATTTCAATTCTCTGTTTAAGATAGAGAAGAAGGAGGTGGGATGGAAGTTGCAATTATTAAATACTCGGTCAGCCCTGGCTTGAATGACAATTCTGTTTCAATTATACAATGACTAAATTCTTCGGTCAACTCTGGCTTAAGAGGCAGTTTTATTCTTTGTGTGTTAATAAGTAAAAATGTTAATCATGAAAACATTATGGCAGTGTCTTCCCAATGCCACAAGAGCCCGGCAACTACCGTCACCAATTTTCCACCATTTGAAAATACAATTGTACACGTCGAATGCATACTTTATGCTGAAATGTTTTTTTACACTCAACCACTGATGGCGAGTCATCCAAATGCCCCAAATTGGAAGTGAGCAACAGGCCAAAAGCAAAATGACCACAATTGGAAACATGTTTAGTTTGGCCATAATGGTGTGAAGAACGAGTGACTTTTGATTTTTTTTCCTTCAGAAAATGATTCCTCAGATGCAGTTAAACTTTGATGCAATGAGTTCTACACTTAAAAGGGATGAGGAGAATGTGCAAGTCATTCGTAAAATGAAAAACACATTTTCCTTTAAAACTACCTTAGCAATGTATTTGCTGATATGAGGTAATAAATACAAAAGTTTCTAAATTTGGTCTTTATTTGGTATGATAAAAACAACTTACAAGTTGCCATAAATTGTTTAAATCTCAACAATCACATAAACATTTATTATTTCACACAAATATTATTTTGAAAATTAATTGATTGATAGGTTTGGTACAATAGAGTAGCGAAACCGTCAACTAAACTTGCATGTCATGTTCACAAATATCATAAACGACTAAACATCATTGTGTGAAAAAGAGACGACAAGCAGGAAAAAGATTGCTGCTAGCCTTAGGTATTTCGCAGTAATAGACAAGCGTATTGCTCAAGCATTATTCCTATTATATCAAAATGAAAATATGACGTAAGAGAATAAATTTGTAGAAGCGAAGAATTGTTGGGGGTAAAATAGAGTAAGTAAAAGGGTGCCCTTTTTTGGTAAACCCATTTTAGCATAAATATT